AAGAAAGAAAGAAAGAAAGAAAGAAAGAAAGAAAGAAAGAAAGAAAGAAAGAAAGAAAGAAAGAAAGAAAAGAAAAGAAAAGAAAAGAAAAGAAAAGAAAATCTGGTACCCAGTGAATCAAGAGAAAGAATTGCTGAGTCCAAGACCAACTGAGTCATAGCCTCCAAAGACTGGAAGTCTCACACCCCTTTCCACCCAGCTGTTACGGAGGCTCAGAGTCAAGGCACACGGTGCTGGGCTACAGCTACTTGAATCACATAATTATTTCAGTAACTACTGATGAGTCAGGAAGAGCACAACACACAGTTGGCAAGTATTGTTAAATGAATGTGTTCTAGTATTCAAAATTCACAGAGAAAGCCCATATTGGAAATACAGCAAAAACTTTCCCTAAATCTGACCAGTAGGTCTCTTCTTTCTTACACAGCAAGGATTCTTCTAATGTGTCTCTCAGATCAATAACAGAAACCCTGAGCTGCTGACAACAGAACATTCCAAAATAGCCCTCTCCTGTGGCCACATGGGCTGGTCTTATACTTCTAAGGCACATTAGTGAGCAAAAATGTAAGTAAGAATTTCAGCAAAATTATCTGGCTATACCCTGGGACTCAGCAGATAAAATGAGTATAAACTTTAAAACCTTAAAGAAAACCCATAAGGAGCAAATCCTGGTTCAACGTTAACACTCAAACCCCTTAGTCATCACCAAATGCACTGCCCTAAGCAAGACTGGATCACCAGCACCCGGATGCCCACAGCCCCTTCCTTCCAGTGGGTGTGAATAAGAACATAAACAAGAGAAATAACCCAAGTGTAGGATAACCGTGGGCCCAGCGTCAGGCGTGGCAGGGAAAATGGGGCCATCTGGCCAAGAGGACCTATAATGTGAATAAAGCTTGAAGTTAGGAGATTCTCAAAGCTATAGGACCTCAAGGAGTCTTTGATAAAGAACAGCAAGGAGGATGGGATGAAAACCAATCGAGTATCAGTGACATCCATGAAAGACCAAGTCTTAGGGAGCTGCAGGAACCTTTAGCACAGTAGGAAGTCATCAGAACCAAGCCACACTCACCTTCTGTTTCAGAACTATAAAAAGCCACCCCATAAAGAAGAAAAGACAGTTCTCTTTGCAAGAAGCAAATGAAAACAACTCAGCTTAAGTGATTCCCCCAAGGCACAGAAGCCTGTCCAGACCCCAGGTCTCCCTCCACTGTGCCATACACTTGACCTCCAACAGTAATACATGAGCAGGGCTGTGGGCTACAATACACTAAAACGCATTCTCTCCGCAGGATCTGACCTTGAACCAACCTTTCTATTAGGAGGTATGCATCAACAGGTTACACCAAGCTAAGGGACTCCTGGTCAGGCCCTGATGGCACATTAATATAGTATGTGGAACTTCTTATGGTATTCGAGGTCAAAAGTTGCAGCCATTTTAGCTGCACAGTCTCTTACCACATTTTGGAGAAATAAAATGGTTAGAGATCATTGCATTTATTAAATTGCTTATTCTCTAATCACTGCTTATTTTGGATATAGTCACTGTATAACCATAATGAAACTGACTTTTTATATACCGATCTCCACAGCAAGCAATAAAACACTATAAATCAGTAAGAAAGCCTATGAGACAATCTCCCCTCATGGGAACTTTCATTGGGTTGAAAATTATGCTTGAAAAAGCCACTAAATAGCCTTGGCCTGTGTGGCTCAGTTGGTTAGAGTGTCGAAAAGTCGTGGGTCTGAGTCCTGGTCAGGGCACATACTCTGGTTTCAGGTTTGATCCCTGGTCAGGATGTGTACAGGAGGAAACCGACTGATGTTTCTCTCTCACATTGATGTTTCTCTCTTTCTCCTC